CCGCCCGCACTGTCTTCAACCCAATCCCGCTTGGGCTGCGGGAAAACCGGGGAGCGGTTCGGCCGGCGGAGAGGCACCCCAGGGCTGTTTGATGCCCGGATCCCCTCTGACACCTCTGGGTTCAGCTCCAGCCCCGTTTGCCCGCGGAGCAGCGCACCCTGGCTCGGGGCTTTGGGCTGGGCTGCGGTGTTCAGAGCCGGTGAGGAATCGGGCCCCTGCCACGGTGGGGCCTAAAGCCCCTGGGCAGCGCCCTCCCTTCAAGAGACGGGCACCTGCCCAGGCGCGGGGGGCGCGTGCCGCTCGCTGACTCATGCCAGAAGAAAAACCTCTTGTTTTTTACAGCTCCACAAACAGCTCAGCAGTGAAGTTGGTCAACTTGGCAAACTCAAGAAGCTTCCTATCCCTGGTGTCCACTGACTGTTGGGTGCAGCCCCGTGGTTGAGGCTGGCCTGAGTTTGTGCACCTGAAGTTGACCTACTGCTGTGTGTCAGCAAGCGGCGATGCCACGTTCTGGGCACAGCAGTGGCTGGAAGTGACCGTAACAGCATTTGCTACCTTAGAAAAAAGAGAGTTCCTTGATATCTTCTTCTTTTGTTAATTGCCCTTGATGACTAATACTGACTCCCATTGTCTTCTTTGAGCCAAGTGACTATTGTTCAACCTGGAGAAGGCCCAGAATTGAAAAGTGAGATAAAGTACATGCTACAACTGTTGTTTAGGCTCTGTGCACATCCTGGACAAAGAATTGGGCACTGGAGAAAATAAAGCACTTTCTACACTAGGTTTATGAGCAGCACACAACTGGGGTTTTCATTTCCATGCTTGGTGATGATATGAGCTATGAGACTTGCACACAGGCTGTGTATGGGTGCATCAGTCACTTCTCCCAAGAGTAAATGGTAGCTTGGAAATAGTTTCCAGCACTGTGACAGCCTACATAGCGTAACAGCTCAATAATTTTAATGGGATATCAAGATGATAAAAGCATTATTAACAAGCAGGAAAGAAAGAGACAGGAAGCTTTTAGCCTGTACCATTTTGGTATCTGAACAATGAGTTCTCTATATTAAATTCAATACTGTGACTATTTTGTGTCCAGGTGAGGCAGCTGGGGAGATTTTTGAAGAAACAATTCCATTTATTGGACTGTGACCTATGAGAGTGTCCCAGGTTTTGATCCATGATTTATCCTTGGATGCATGTTAAGGGACCTAGAAATTAAATCCTCTGAAATCAGCGGAAGTTTATGGAAGCCAAGTATGTCTAGTTAACCCCGATAAAATGTTGCCTGCACTTCAGATGTGGGGAGAACAGGGCCGTGTCCTGCTTGCCTTAGCCACGTTGCTTTAGCACAAGAGAAATTTCTTCTTTCAAGGTGGTTACCCTCCATCATTGTTTGCAGTGGAAATTAAGCTCCAGGGGGCCTATAACCAAGGTGCCATTCTATAAATGGCCACTGCTTCCTACCATTTCCGAAGGATCCTGGAAAGGGGCTTCCTTTCCAATAAGAAGAATAGGAAATACCAGCCATTTTGAAAAAAACAATGGTCTACAGAATGTTGTCAGACTACGGAAAAAAAACCCATTCACGTATAAAGATTAAAGCCAAAAATAATCATTCACCCTATAGAAACTTTTCAAATGTAACAAGTGTGCAAGATTTTACTAAGTTTGAAGTACAAAAGGAAGGTTCAAGAAAGTGTATTGCTCCATTATTAAAATAATCTGGGCATAGGGTGGAAGGAAATAGTTTGACACAGGGTGATTTTTAAATTAATTTTTAACTCTATTATACTTTCATTTTCTCAGAAAATTCATTCTGTATTTAAAGAGTAACTGTAGGCATTATGGGAAGGACACAGAGCACTGAGTCCCTGCTTTACCTGCAAAACTCACCACTACCACTGGTACTTCTGTAATGGAGTAATTTGGCTAGCTGCTCTCAATGGATTCTTAATGTTCAGCATGACAACTAGTGCTAGACACAAAATAAGTTTTCTTCACAACTCAAATAAAACAGAACACAAAATCCCTCATGATACAGGTCACTTGCGTCTCCCTATGGGTCACCACAGATCCTGAGAGGAGGACAAGCCTCAGAACTAAAGGATGATCTTGTGAATCGAATTTATTTGGTCTAGCAAGCACAATCCTGAGCACAGGACTAAGAACTAGGAAGTCCTGAACTCCATTATCCTACATTTGCCTGTGACTTGTGAACTTTGGGAGGCACACAAAGTGCCTGGTCTTTAAAACGGCATGTGTGCAGCTGAGTCTCATATTTGGCTCCGAAATTAGTTGTTTGTACATGCAAATCAGGTAACTGGAAAAGGAATCGACTTACCAGATATAAACCTAGCCAGGTGTGTCCACAAATATTGGATGTGTGCGCACACTCATGGTAAATGCATATACAAATGATCAGTTCACAAGCAAATGCATGTGCACAAGAATGAATTACTTGAAAAATCAGATGCATCACCTCTTTGAGCTAACTTTCCTGCATGTGATACTACCCAGTTCCCTAGCTAATTTCAACTTTGGCATAGAAATCTGAAGATGCAAAAAGCTACGATGTGTGATTTTTAAGTATTCATATTAAAGTCCTTATTGCAAAATAAATGTGCACAAGCAAGATGCAACAGCTCTGCCAGCAAGCCAGTGATCCTTCCCCAGCGCTAACAGCAAGTCTAACACAGTGTTATGGAGAATCAATGTACTGTGGTCATTCTTCCTTAAGCACCAATACATTTCTTTTTAATAGCTTATATCACGGCCAAATTCCAAGCAGTAGGATTCTGCCTTTCATCCTATCAGGAGGAAAGAGGAAGTTGTGAGAGTCCTAAAATGGAAAAGTCTGTTGCCTGTATCTTGAGCAAAGGTTTATTAACACCTCAAAAGACCTACTGGGTAAATTGGTGTTTAATACACTGTTAGCCAAGCAGGATCTGAATACAGTGGCAAAATCAACAAAAGCACATGGATGGAGGAGGGAGTAGGTGTCTTTTGTTTTTTAAACATATTCAGGATCTAAGATAAGCTTGGTCTCCCTCCACTATAAACAACAGCTAATTCGCTATTCTTGCTCTTGTCTAAAAGTCTCAGAATGATTTTTCAAAATAGCTAAGCAAATCAAGACATTTCTGTGAAGATCACACTACACAACAGTTTGGAGCAAGGAAGAATCCTTATAACTGAGGGTGTTAAGGAGTTTAGGAATTCAGAACATTCCTACCAAGCTGGAACTTTGCCAAGATATCAAGACTGTAGCCAAAGTCCTACAAAACAGGCCGTAATAGGCAGATGTGTTGATGATCTTAATTTTATACCTCATCCAAAAGCAGCTGCCTGCCAGCACAGTGCCTCCTGTCATAATGCTGGGACTTCTTCTTTGTTGTCTCTCCAATCCAACCTTTCTATATGGTCTGTTCCCAACATTTTCCACAGGCCACTGCTTCTGCTTCTGGTGTTGCCAGATCTTGTGGACTTCACTGTGGTGCTACAGGACATCTCAGGACATGATTCATGGTTAGCTTCTCTTGACAAACACATTGGTTTGATTCATAGATGTTAGGGTCGGAAGGGACCTCAGTAGATCATCGAGTCCGACCCCTGGTTGGTTGTGTAAAGGCCCCATGCCTTCATGAGAAAGTTGCATCTTCCGAGACCCACTCTCAATGTCTTCAGGCTCTGCCATGTATGCTATTTGTAGTTGGAGCCAGATGCTAACTTCTCGCTGGGGGTAATTATTTGCCAGCTCCATTGAACAGCTTTATGACCTAGTTTCTGCCTTTTTTTTTTTTCGCCAGAGGGCAGTTCTGGCTGATTCTGGTGATATGCTCAATGGCATGGTAGAGGGCAAAAAGATATTTTTTGATGAGAGATGACAGTGCACTGGTTGATGTCCATATAGCGGGTAGAGGTTGGCTGACTCTTGTACCTGCTGGTCAATGTTGCCTGCTAATTCTGGGACTTGTAAGCTATGTAAGAAGACAAGAACCAAGTATTTCTTGAAGGTGTCACTTCCAAATGCCAAACTTTCTCAAGCCTGCCTAGCTTGTGGGATCTGAGATAATCCCTCCTACTCCCTCATGTGGGAGTTCAGTCAACCTGTGCATGTGGTTCAACTTTACTGTGATCTCATAAGTCAAGGGCAGATCTGTTAGTTTCTTCTGAAACAGCCCCTTGCAAAAGCATCACCCCAAGTTCACCCTGTACTTCTTTCAAGTAAACGGGGAAGATGGAGGCTCCCCACAGGTCACTACAGATCCTGAGAGAAGGACAAGCCTCTAGATAAGTAACCCCATTGACTTCAGCAGATTTATACACATTTGCACAAGGATTGAATGTGGTCTGACTTGTTTCAGCTGGTTGCAGTGATATACCATCACACCCAGGAAAAACCAGATGGCCACTTTCCCTCAGGGAGCAAAGAGCTGTCTTGAACGCAAGTGCCTTTGCCCACCCCCTCTGAGTCCCACTGTGTGATCTCCAACTGGGATTGAAGCCTGAGGAAGGCATTTCATGACCAAAACCTTGTCTAACATCTCTCCCAGCTGTAGAATTGGTCCAGTAAGAGATATCACCAAAAACCTGGACTATTTATCTGGAGTGCAGCGGGGATTCCACCTGTCACATTGCTTCAAAGCCCAGCAATATCCAACTGCACACACATCTGATAATTCACCTGACCCCTAATTTTCACACTACTTATTCTCATGTTCTCTTTGCTAAGATCAGTAACATACCATTTCCACACATAGTGAGCAGTAGTTGAGTTGGCTTGATTTGATGTAAATTGCTCTGAGAGGTTTCAGGTTGAAGCATTTATCACATGGACCAAATACAGTTGCAAGGAAGGTCTGGTCACACATCTTTGCTGTGGACTGGAGCTGAAAGAGACAGAGAAGAAACACAGTGTGTGTTCCGCTAATGCCAAAGCTTGTCTGAATTCTCCTACTAG